CCCCAAAACCCCAAAACCCCAAAACCCCAGTAAATAGTTTCTTAGCTGAGCTTCGTAAATAATTAAAATTAATTAATAATTAATGGAACTACTAAAAGGGTAATCTAAGATATTTACTTATCAAATTTACGCGCAAAATTTAGAGCAAATCACACTAGCCTCAAAACTTGCAAGACAATTAGAGCCAATAATTCAAAAATTAAGCCAAATGATCTTGTTATCGAAGGTATGAATGAGCAACACTTGGTTATCAAATAGAGCTCTCAGATTGAACTTATCATTTATTTTGCATGACCAGTTTCAAAGAAAAATAATTTGCTCTCAAATATTTTTAAACAAGAACTGGCTTTAGCATTGCATAAATGGGCTCAAATCTTTCAAACTAGACTCCTTAATTTCATCTTAGGCAAAAGAAGTATGAGCATATTATCAGAAGAACAATATTTACCAAAAGTAAGAATATATCTCTCACTCTAAAGAGTAGCAAAAAACATTTAATCAAAATTCAGCCAGATGCTTTATCCTCAAGTATCTTCCATAGATCAAGGTAAGGCTTCTTTTAAAATACTCAATAATAGCCGGCTAACTACAACTAAACTGAAGTCTGCTCAAAAATAAATTTGTATCTGCTGTTGGTTCCAGAAATGACTTCCCTTTGAAAAGCTCTCACAAGTCTTGCGATAAACTACAACTAAGCCAACATTCCAAATGTCTCAAAAACCCAATGACCAAAAAGTCAAATGATGAACTCCTCGAGGGTATGTATTTTGTTCATTTATGAATCTGGTCAGTTTCTTAATTAGTCCATATATTTTAACTTGTTATTCTTTATAGAAATACACACTTTGCACGACAATGGATATAGTAAGATATTTTTTATTCGACAGTCTCATTCTCTAGGTTATATCTCACAAGGAACTCCGCACAATAATTTTCAGAGAATAAAGCATCAAAGAGCCAGTGTTTTATCAAAGTTTAATAATTTTTATTATGCTCACCCTCTTGCAGATGATCAAAGTAAGTCAATGAGCTCTAAGTAACATAAATTTGTTGATGATTAGCATAACTTCTTGCACCATCTCATCTTAGGGCATAGAAATGATGCGAATGAAAAATAATTTCTCACATGAAACCTCAATGAGCACAGAAAAAGATTTAGAATATTATGAATCAACTAGTGAATTACTTCAAAACAATAAGATATCAGGAAATGTCAAACCCTCTAGTAAAAATATTTTATAACATTCAGAATACAAAAGAAACAGTCTTTTAAGCAGACCCTCCATATCCAAAATTGCCAGAAAGTTTATTGGAAAATAAATTGTCCTCAAAGCAAGCATTCTGATTGAAACTATCTAAATTTGATAAGTATACTTATTCAATCAAAAATAAAGACTCTTGCAAAGGAAGAAATATCAAAAATCCCACAGTTTTAACACAGTGAGCACAATATTCTCAGTAAGCCCCTCAGATATAACAATTCAGCCAAAGAAGGTTCAGACTCATATGAATTATAACCTGTTTTATAATTCACAAGCTAGGAACAATCGTGCAAGGGCTTTAAGTAAACAAGTTAGTTCAATAATCAAAAGAAAAGTAAACCGTTCATTTTTGATAATACAGCCAAGAGCAAGGTCTCAGATCTCTAACTTGACTCTCCAAAGTATATCCATTTATTATAAATAGTGGATGTTTTGGACAAACATATCTCACATGACAAGATTCGAATTGCAAATGCTGTGGTAGCCTCATACTTCCTAAACATTTAGAATATTATTAAAGGGTAGTATCTTTGCATTTAACATCAGTAGAACACTTGGAAGAGACATCATGATTTCCAATGAAGACCCGAATTACATCCCTCATAGTAATGTTAAGGTTAATTTCATAGAGACAAACCCCCAAAATTCTTGTGAAGCCCCTAGAAGCCAAAAGTTTTAACTATGTATTTTTGAACAATAATTTTAGGCTCTTATGAGGCATTGTAAAGATCGAATAGCTAATCAGCTAAGAATAAAATTACTGAAGAACAAGGTAAATTTATATTTCACAATAGATCTATAATATGAGACTGGACAGAGGAATGAACATTAACTCTGTGCTTCAAGGAAGTAAGTCTCAAAATAATGCATTTAGTGGTATATTTTATTCAAGCTATTTCTTAGATAAAACCTAACTCAGAATACATATCGATTTGCAACAAATCCAACAAAATTGATAACCATCGTGATAGAGACTACCAAAATACGGAAGAGTATATTTAAAGAATGTCTAAACTATAGTTCCCAATCTTCTCATCAAACAAAAGCCATACAAGTAAAGCCTTGTTAAAGACTTTAATTCCATAATTTTACTATCCAGTTGCAAACAAAATTAAGGGTTCCTTCAGTGGTTGGGGCCGGCAAGGCAAAAATTCCTAGATGGTTTCATAAATTACTTATTGCATTTAAGCCCATCAAGTGCTTCATACTCTAATATTGGAAAGATTATTAGGATGCTTACTTCAGGTTTTTATCTTAGTCTTTTTTAGTTAATACCTCCTTAATTAAAAATAATTTAACTAATAATCTGAAATTGTTTTAAAATTCAAATCCAAAAATCAGATAAGGGGTTTTGGGGTTTTGGGGTTTTGGGGTTTTGGGG